TCGCGCTTAGAAAAATATACGCACATGTTTCTGCAATATTCCGTTCGGTAACATGAAAAATAGCTTCTGCAATTCGAATGTTATTTAAATTTTCTTCGACATTTCATAAAATTCTGTGGAAAATTTCCTATTATATAATTTAACAGATTTCAACATTTTGTTGATAAAACGCATTAATCGGTTTTAATGAGATAGTACTATTTACACGAGGCAATTGCGTCTTTTTATAAAATCATAGTTTAATTTTTTAACAAAGCATCACTAATTATTTTACGCCACCTCTTTCTGATTGAAAAGTTTGCATCAGATGTTATGAAAAAAATACTTTCTTTTTTTACATGTATTCAAAATTTAAAGCAAACATTTATTTGAAAACTGTCAATTTAAATAGCTTTTAACATGGAGCTGGACTAGATTTCTTGATGGATTAATTGTAAAAAAAATTGAAGATCATTACATGAAGTTGATTTTTATACCCGTATATCTATCGAATAAAACGGTCGCAACAAGTGAATATCATTGATTTCGAAAGTGAGTTTTGTCCTTATCAATGTGACTATATGATTAGGATGCGTGTGTCCTCGATGTGCAGAACTCTTTTGTATCGATTTCTGTTGAGAACTATCAGCCTTTGAAACTCTAGATGACGTTCTTGTTTCGTTCCATTCAAATTCCTCAATACATTTGTAATATGAAAATACTGTTTCTACAGCAAAAGTAATATCCTGCTTTTTAGAAAGCTATCCTCTAAAAAAAATTTCCGAAAATCCACCTTTTTCCCAAATGACCGTTTACATGCCAGGATTGAATAACATGAGTTTTACATTAAAAGTCTGATCATGACTTTTGTCTGACGAATATTATATAAAGTAGAAGTCAAAATCTCTTACAAAATATTGATAATTATTGTTCACAATATTCCTTGATTAGAAGCCAAGGTATCTATATAAATTATTTTATGTTATAAACAAATGATAAATTAATCAAAAGCATGATTATAAATAATATTTGAACAAGGATGAATTTTCTCGCTTTGATTTCTTACGATAATCCAATATATATTTCTTATTCAATTTCATTTTTCTTTTTGATTATTTATTTCTTATTTAGATAAAAGTATTTGATAGGAATAATTATAGATTTGCAAATGTCTTTGATTTGTTTTCACCAACCACTTTCTTTGACATGTGTATTCCATGAATCTAACCGATCTATAAAAATAGAATATCAAAGAGAAAAAGAGTCCAAAGATATATGTTAGGTACTTATTTTTCTCTTGCATCTATTGAGTTTGTTTTTTGCTTGTAGTCTATAAATGACTGATGATCGCTGGAACAAAACAAAAGAGCATTGACGGGTAGCCTTTGACAAGAGACTATAGAAAGTGGTATTTTGTAGGTTCCTTGTCGTGTCTCGTTGTATTGCATCATCTGATAAGAACGTGTATGTCGACATTCAAAATCATCACTATACACCGTTCTTTTCTTCTTTTACGTGTATCTATCGAGATTTTTCTTCATCTTATTATTATTATACGGTAATAATCATTTGTCGAATACTTGTTTACATACATACATAGACCAATTCTGATTAACGAACAAATAGATCAAATAATATTGGCATTTATGAGAATTCATCATGTTTGATCTTTTTGTTTTTTTTCCTCGTCTTATATTGAATGTCTACCTGTAATCAAATCTATATACTTATGTACAATATAAGAAATATGCTCGAAGGAGTAAATGTTGTTGTTATTACTGTCAATGTCAATTACTAGACAACATTTGCTCGGATACAACATAGGAAGCAATGTCAGTGTGTTCCACTGTAGGGATGAAACAAAAAAGAAATGGAACTAACTGTAGGACTATCTGTCTTTTTTTTTTGCTTAGAGTAAACGTAATGCTAAGTTACATAAAATATTTATGTCAGAATTTCTGTTAAACAAATGAATATTTAATAGAAATAAAATCAAAATATTTATATTTATATTTATTACAATTGCATTCATTCTTTGTTATTTTCTATTAAAAAGATTAGATTAGTATGATTTATATCAGAAATGTAGGAATGTATATACTCACAACAAGGCACATACGAGGATAAAAAAATCAGAAGGAAGAAAAAAAAATCAGAAGGAAGAAAAAAAATAGTATAAATAGATATGTCATGAATGATATCATCAATATGAGAATAAAATAATATCAATAAACAAAATCACACATCATATATATATATATATATTGGCGAACATAGAAATTCTTTGTTATCATAACTGTTAAATAAAAAATATACTAAGAAGTTTGTAGTTTGTCATTTTTTTTTTCTTTTTCTCCTTGTCTACATTTTCATTAACACTTCGTTATTTTTATCATCAACTTTTTATCACTCTATCAAACTTCAAAATAATTAATTAGATGTACAATTTATTCTTATTGACATATTAAATTTTTTTGTTTTGTTTTTAATTTGTAGAATATTGTGTTTTATGATTGACAATGGATAATTCAAAACAATATCTTTCATATCAATCTAATGAAATTCTTCATACAAAAAGAAAAAAAACTCGAAGAAAACAAACATTACGTCGTTTTGGTACTCGATGTTTACCATCATTAGCAACAAATACAGTTAAAATGGTTGTTGCAACATTACAAATAGGTTCAACAATGAATGAAAATATTAGTGAAGATGAAGAACAAGATGATGATGATGATGATGATGATGAAATATATTATATTGGACAACAAGTTCAAGCACACATTCCAGATATTGTTTTAAATAATTTAAATGATTTAATTGATCAAAAAGGAAATATTTTAATACCTAATGAACATATGTATAATAAAACAACATTATTATTTCTTGATGTATCTGGTTTTACATCATTAACTGAACAATATTCAAATGATGCACATTTAGGTATTGATCAATTAACACATACATTAAATTTATATTTTGATAAACTTGTTTCACAAATTTTAATATTTAATGGTGATATATATAAATTTGCTGGTGATGCTATACTTGCTTTATGGACTAATGAATTAAATGGACCAGAACAAGCATTAAAATGTGCATTGTATTTACAAGAAAAATGTGGATCATATGAAACAGATGTTGGAGTTGTATTACGTCTTAAAATAGCACTTGCATATGGGCCTGTACGTGCATTATTTGTTGGTACAGATGAATTTAAACATTATATATTAGCAGGTGATTGTGTTAAAGATGTTAATATATGTGAACAATTATGTGAACCAGGAGATATAATTATAACAAAAGCAGTTTATGAACAAGTTCAATCATTAAAATTAAATTGTCAATTTATATTGATTAAAGATGATATTAATGAAAAAGATCGACATATTGCTGTAAAATATTCTGAATCGATAGATAATAATCATGATCTAACAAAAATAAATGATAAAATGGTATGTACAGTAGTCACAGGAAGTTTTACTATTAGATAAAAACTATTTAAACTTGAATGTTATTTTGATTACAAACAAATCACGATAAATTCTGATAATAAGATCTGATGAACTTGCATCTGCAAGAGCTAGAAGGTCAACATTTGGTGTCAATCTCTGAATAGCCTCGACAGTGAAGAGTGGATATAGGTTAGGATCTTTTGTATATCATCATCCACATCCTACTCTTGATGTTCTTTCAGCATTCTTTAAGATTAATATGTCATTCGATAAATTGTCCTAGTAACTACTATAAGAATAGTTCATCTCTTGAATTTACAATCCGTAATATTGACTGATCAAGTACTGATCTGAATTGTTTTTTTTTGTTGTTATTCCTATAGAATACTTCAAATCAAGAAATATCAAATGATAATCATCTATCTGATCATGATAATATTTCAAATAATCTATCATCTTCCTTAATAACTGATTTAATTCATGATGAATTTTATAATAAAATCAATAGTTTAATGACATCATTTTTACTTCATTGTGTATATCAACGTATTGAACGTCAACAATCATTAGATTATTTATCTGAATTACGTCGTGTAACAATAACATTTATTAATCTTGATATATCAAATGAACAATATACAAATAATAATCTTTGTCAAAATGTTCAAAAAGTTTTTATACAAATATATGAATTAACAAAAATGATGGGTGGTGTTTTAACAAAAGCATTATTATTTGATAAAGGTTGGTCATTTTTATGTGTTTTTGGTTTACCTGGTTATAAACAAGGTGATGATACAGCAAATGCACTTAAATGTGCATATATGATACATTCAACAATGCATAAACAATGTCAATTTATTGATAAATGTTCAATTGGTGTAAGTTAATTTGAAAAAAAAAAGAATATATTTTAATAATTTATTTTGCGTTAGGTTAGGTGACAACAGGTCTTACTTATTGTGGTGTTGTTGGACATATAGCACGTTGTGAATATACAGTTATTGGTCGAAAAGTAAATATGGCTGCACGTTTAATGTGTAATTATTTAAATATAATATCATGTGATCAAGAAACATATTATAATTCACATTTAAATAATCGATGTTTTCAAATATTACCTGATAAAATATTAAAAGTAAAAAAAAATATTAATTCTTTTTTGTCTATTTATTGAATTTCTAGGGTATGCATAATGTTGGAAATATATGGCAATATAGTGATTATTTTGATGATATACAAATACAAAATAATCAAATAATTGAACAAGATAATAATATAATAAATGATATAAAACATGAAAATTATCCATTATTAGGACGAAAAATTGAATTAATGATTGTTGTTACACAAATTATGTTATTAGATGAACCTTTAAATAGTTCAAATAGACGAAGAGATCTTGCAGCTATTATATTTGAAGGTTAGCAAAGAAGAAAAAAAAACAATTTTTCTTATTCCAATTAGAATATTTAAATTGAATGATTCATTAAATGTTCAATTTTTCAACTGATGATAAATTCAGTTTTAATTGTTGATAGTAGAAAGGATACTTTAAAGGGTTCTTATATACTATCGATTCAGTGTGTGTGTGTGCGGTTAACACACGTATCGAACCAACCATAAGAAACGGCGATCGTACACGATGTGTCTAGTAGCAAATTTACCAATGCAAGACTCTATGTCGGTTACCGATGTATTTTATTATTTCATAGAAGATGATGGTTTCATGAAAAGTTATTGAAAGTTGATTATGCATATATGAAATAGTATGACAACTCGTCAGTTCAGTGTCGGTATGAGTTTCAGACTGGTTGGTAATCAGTAGACTAAAAACTACTTGGAACTGCGACTCCCGGATTCAGTTCCGGTTACTAAAAATGAGAAAAAAGCGATTCTGAATATATTATGTGAAACTGGAATACAAAAATTTTAAATCTATTTTAACGAATTTTCACTATTGCATTGTTGAGATTAAAAACGTCATGTATTTCAGTATTTAAACATTACAAAATTATACATATATACTGAAATCTTTGATCTTAGTAATGAAAAAAGATCAAGATTTCTCGACGAGAATTTTTTTATTCATCGGATGATTTAACGATTTCAATTTTTTTTTTTGGAATCACCGAACTCTACTCATCAGTTCGAGCTGCTTAGACCGATTCCATCTCTGTCGTGCCGAAATTTCTGTTCTCAACAATTTCGAAGGTGATCGTTTATTCTTGAAGACCTATAAATATTATAGCTCTAGGAATACATAATAACTTGCTATAAAATAGAAGATGATGTGTATCTTATTGTATTCGAAAACGCGCAAAACGAATTATCAAGATATTTTCGTAGTTCTTGAGAAAGGGATATCTCTGACAT